AAAATTGCATAAATGGAGAAAATGACATTTTCTTCTTGATAATGACCGAAAGTAGGTATCATACTTTAGAAAAGAAATTACCGGAGTGAAAGGAGCAAGAGAAAAAAATCTGTCATGAATTGTGAATAATGATAGAATTTTCTTTGAAATAAATAAATGAGTTTAAAGCCCAATTGAACACATTATCTTTTTTCTTCAGCATTGATTTAAAAAACACAATCGGTCCATAATATAATTTGACAAATTGTTAAAAAAAACAAAAAAAAAATAACAGCAGAAGTTGACATCTTTAGGCACATATCTGAAAAAGAAGAAAAAAATAGTATTAATCGAAAAGAATACTCTGCATGGGTCTCATTTTCATTATTCATTTCAATGGTACACAAGGCAATAAAGCCACTAAGATGCAAGGGGTTACTGAGTGTGAAAGACAATAGAGTGAAAGAAACAGAAAAAATCATTACTGAGGAGAAAGAACAATAAAAATAATATTTTATATATTTAAGCATGTCTATATTCAGTCTGTCTATAACTATCTATCTATCTATCTATCTCAGTCTGTCTATATTTATCTATGTATCTATCTCACTCTGTCTCTATTTATCTATCTCTGTCTATATCTATCTCATTCTGTTCATTATTTGTCTGACAGTTCATTATCTATTTCAGTCTCTTCTTATCTATCTATCTATCTATCTCAATCTATCTATCTATCTATCTCATTCTGTTCATTATCTATCTATCTATCTATCTCAATCTATCTATCTATCTATCTACCTATCACAATCTGCTCATTATCTATCTATCTATCTATCTATCTATCTCATTCTGTTCATTATCTATTTATCTATCTATCTATCTATCTCATTCTGTTCATTATCTATTTATCTATCTATCTATCTATCTATCTATCTATCTATCTATCTATTTATCTGTAGCTACCTGTTTATTTTGTGATATAAATATTTACATAATAAAATAGATGTATAAATTATATAAAAATAATTAAAGGGTAAATTTATTACAAATTCTTTGTTGTTTGTCATGGTTGAGTTTGTCAAGCCAGGGGCCTAAATAAAAAGGATGAAGAATCCACATCATCACTTGCAACATACAATTACCTTCTTTAACCACAAAGAACTAAGAATCTCCCCTATGATCCAACGTAAAGCATTATTTTTTTTATCACCATAAAATTTTGCGATTGGTTGAAACTGGTCATTTTGAAATGCAAACAATTTACTTATATTTCGAGATATTTTTAAAAGTTTGTTCATTTTGATTTTATTTGAATTTTCAACAGATAAGCACAGAAAACACAAATTTTTTTTCAAGGTAAGACTTCAATATATATTAAAAAAATTCAGACTTAAATTAATTGGAAACAGAATGAGCAATAAGGGAGCTGTTGATGGAGTATTATTTCTGTAAACAAGAGGGACTGGTCTAAGACTATTTAAACAGATATTATAAATGATAACGAAGAGGATGATATATTTCATTTTTTAAAATTTTTCTTCTTGTTGAACTCTCTGCCTATGGTCAGAGAGGAAACCAGATGAGGCTATGCTGAAGAACAGAGTCTCATTTGGGGAGGTAGACAAACCCAAACTTGTGGGGCATTCTGAGCCCCATCTTAAAAACTGGCCTTGTGCTACATCTTGCCTTGTGGAGAGGTTGGTAAATAGAAAGGAATTAATGATTAATCGTTACTCTACTTGCCAACTCTATGCCTTCAGGTGTGGAGGAACTCAAATGAGGCTATGCCTATGGGCAAGTCTCATCTGGGGAAGTAGACAGCCAACCAACCCATGTATATGGGGAATTTTTGCCCAAGTGTATGCGCTCGGAAAACCCCACATTAAAAACTACTCTTGTGCCATGTCCTGCCCTGTGGGGAGGTCTCATGTAAATACCGAGGAGTTAATGATTAACGGTTTATTACATTAATCTGTCTTCTGAAATGTGTACCATATTATCTCCAGAATAAACTACTTCTTATGTGTGTCTACCTTTCCTATTTATGATATGACAGAGTTGTACTAAATAAGAACTGGATGAGATATCCTGAGACATGGTCAGCAGAATGAAAACAGTCTACTCGTGTAAATGAAATAAACTAGACTAAGTTATATATCAGGACACCCCATAGCATCCACATGCTTCTTCCACTCAGTCTATCATTATAGTCTTTAACTTTTGTGTCATAAAACAGCATCATGAATTTATGACCTGTGTCTGCTATTCTGCGACCATTATCATCATATAGCAATCTTCTATATCAATATAACAGAACATCATCTTTGATTTGTGAATATCTTTGTTTAAATGTCCGCATAAGCACTCTGAAAATGGCTCATATGAGACAAAAGCTTAGATCAAGGAACAGTTCTATAAAAAAAATATCCACATATTGAACAATTTTTGCCTTTATTTTCATCCCAAATTAAATCAAATATACAGCGTTTAGAATGGCTCATGATCAAACATAATAGACATTCATTGCCTGTTATATTTTATATATATATATATATATATATATATATATATATACATATAATACCAAATGGTAGGGATAATTCCAAGGAGGATATTAATCCAAAGGGAGCTCAATGTAAGAGCAGAGCAATGAGAAAAGTATAATATTATATTATATATATATATATATATATATATATATATATATATATATATATTGTGGTACAATGTCATAGAAATTTGCATCTTTGAATTTGCGACATGTTTTTTTTTATTCCAGCAACCATTATCATCACGTAGCAATCTTCTATGTCAACATAACAAAATATTATCTTCAATGGTGAATATCTTTGTTTAAATGTCTATATAACCACTCTGAAGATGGCTCATATGAACCAAAAGATTTAGATCAATGAACAGTTTATAATAAAAAAATAGCCAAATGTTGGACAATTTTTGCTTTTATCTTCATCCGCAATTAAATCAAATATACAGCATTTAGAATGGATCATGGTGAAACATAATAGACATTCATTTTCTGTTATATTTAACAATATATGATTAAATAATGATCTGATTCCATAATACACTAAATGTGTGTGTGTGTGTGTGTGTGTGTATTTTGGGATCTGATGAAGCCTAGAAAAGTGAAATAGAGTATTTAAAATAGGATATAGGATCCTGACAAACTTTTTTAAGAAATTTGACAAATGGAAAAACATTTCATTGAAACTAGACTTAATTGTAAACATAGGTATATATGTGTAATTATTAACATATACATCATAACTCTGTTTAATTACATTGACCACTGTTTTGTTTGCACCATTGTTCAAATACAGTTATTTGCTCACCTGTATGTGTACACAATCTCTCACATATATGGTTGATCGTATCTCTTTATTTAGATCATTTCTGCATCTATATCTATCTATCTATATAATTGTGTATTTGGGCAGTAATCCTTCTTTTATGCAAGTTTCATTAAAAATGACTGAAAAATGCTGTGGTTAAGATTTTTATATAATTTTTCATGTGTTTTTACATAATTTATGTGCTGACAAGAAAAAAATTATATAAAACACTTAACCACACCAGCTTGCCAGTCATTTTTAATGAAACTTATATATATATATATATATATATATATATATATATAAGCAAGTGTAAATGGATATAAATCCGACAGAATGAAGAAAAATTTTGAAAAATACAAACCTAAATTCATTTATTTCATTTATATCCATTTACACTTGCTTATATACTGTCCACTGAAAATACAAACCTAAATTCATTTTTGTTTGTTTTTTCAAAATTTTTCTTCATTCTGTCGGATTTATATCCATTTACACTTGCTTATATATTTGCTGTTGTCCACTGAAAAATACAAACCTAAATTCATTTTTGTTTGTTTTTTCAAAATTTTTCTTCATATATATATATATATATATATATATACACTTGACACTCCCATCAAATTTGACATATGAGGGTCAAGCAGATCAGTTCCTAGGAAACTGACAGCCTGACACCAGCACATGAGATTTAATTATAGTGGTGAATGTTTTGTGCAGAACCAACCACATTTTTTGCAGGGCTGAATACAGAGACCTGGTGCACTACGTGCCACAGGGTCCCCAAACGACCCTCTGCAGGTTTTGAATTCAGAGTTGTGCTTCTCCTAGACCAGTTGCCATCCAAGGCTATAGAACCCAGTCTGTCCTGCTAGTTACCCATAGCTGGAGGGAGAAGAAGAGGATTCACACCTTTCCCAGGGGTATTAGCATGTAAGTGAATGTAATGGATTTGACAGTGGAGTAATGGATACCAGCTTGGATTGAGGAATATATATATATATATATATATATATATATATATATATATATATAACCGAATGGGTAAATATAAGTAGGTATACAAGTGAGAGATCATATACAAATACATATAAATACTCTATAGTGTAAGAAAAAAAACAGTGCTCAATGTAAAGTAACAGAGCTATTTAATATATATATATATTAAGAAATATACATAATATCTTACATTAATTGTACAACTCTGAGTTTCATGCCGAAGCAATTGTGCTGGAATTATTATATTTATTCATTTTCTTTTTTTAATAAAAATAAATAATTCTAGCACTTGAAAATTACTAAATTTTATATAAAACAACCTTCAGTGTATATGCATAAGGTGTGTTATGAAATTCAAAAGAATATCATGTTTATGATTTGTTTCCATTTCCAAGGTGCCCTATTTGGTAGATGCTATAAACAAATTAAATTACCTGCATTCCAAAATGAAAAAATTCTGAAAGCCGAAGAACCTCTGATTCAAAGAATATCGGATAAAGGATTCTCAACCAGTTGTTTAGAATTACCTCCCTTGGATTAATAGTTTACAATTACTTCCCTTGGATTAATAGTTTAGAATTATCTCCCTTGCATAATTAAAGCCCCTTTGTTATTTAAGAGTTTAAAATTACTTCCTTTGAATAAATGACCAATTTAATACTTTTGAATTTAAGAAATGATAATACTCACCAAGAATTCATTACTCATTCCAAGCATCGTATTTTTATAAGAACTGATGTAGAGCAACAAGTGCTTGCGTTCAATGCTTGATTTGAGATCGTCCAGGTTGGTAAATCTCACTTGAGCAGGTTTTTTCAGTTTCTGGGCATCTGGAACTGCATACACCCAACTTACATAATCCTGGACATCTGTGAAGTTAGCCTGAAAAGATTCCAAAGAAAAATAGCTTTATTTTTGTCTAATTGGATTTGAGTTAAACTTCCACGGCACATTGAAACTTATAGTTAAACTACCCTGATACACTTGAACCGAAAGTTAAACTTCCCTCATACGCTTGAACCTATAGTTAAACTTCCTTGGTACACTTGAACCTACAGCTAAACTTCTCTGGTACACTTGAACCTATAGTTAAACTTTCTTGGTACACTTTAACCTACAGCTAAACTTCTCTGGTACACTTGAACCTATAGTTAAACTTCCTTGGTACACTTGAACCTACAGCTAAACTTCTCTGGTACACTTGAAGCTAAAATTAAACTTTCCTGGTACACTCAAATCTATAGTTTAACTTCCCCAGCACATTTTAACCTATAGTTAAACTTCCTTGGCACACTTAAACCCATTCCTTAAATATATTTGGTTATGGAGATTTTCTAAGCATAGCTTAGTTGTGGCACAAGGCCAAAAATATGGGGCACCCAGTGAGGGTCAAACGCACTACTTAGTTGTAATTGATCTTGCGAGACAAGCTTGTTAACCATTACACCACATTCAAAGCATGGTGGACTAATGGACTGCTGCTTAGATTGAGGAATTCGAGAGTTGAGGTTGAATTTTATTTGAGTTCATTATATTCACTTAAATGCTAATATCATTGGGAAAGGTACGAATCCCCCCCCCACCCAGCTATGGGTAAATAGCAAGACAGACTGGATTCTATAGCCTTGAGTGGCAACTGGTCTAAGAGAAGGAAAACTCTGAATTCAAAAACTGTATGTAGCCCTGAGGAAGCACATACTATGCAGCTAAGGAAAGGATTGTTCGCATTAACTCAATGATCCTGAACTATGGTCAACTCCTTTTTTAGATATATCATAACAACTGCTGTGAAAATGGGTTACATACAACAATGTTCAATGCAAAAGTAAGTGGACTGACATGGATAAATCTTTACAACTGACCCCTCAAAAACATATCTCCAGGTAAGAAAGATAATGTTGTGTATATTGGGTGTGGAGCTGCATCACCAGCATATTATTCATTTAGAGTTCTTAAAATGTTATAAAACACTAAATGCACATTTATACATCCAGCAGCTGTAACATGTCCTTTAAAGATTAGTCAAAAAGAGCCCAGTGCACTGTTCTTCTCCAGGACAATGCAAGGCTGCATATAACAAAAATAATAGAGGAACACTTTTGAAACTCACTTGGTCTGGTATATTCCATCTGATGATTATCTTTTTTGATCATTGCAAAACAATTTGCAAGCAAAAAGTTTCTTTCATGAAAACCAGATTCAAAATCAAAAACTTTTTCAAATCAAAACCTGTGGAATTTTAATCAAAATGTATCGAAATTTGCCTGATAAATGGCAAAAAAAGCAATTGTAAATGATAGTGAATATATAATGGAATAAAATGTAATTGTATTTTATAGTTTTTGAAGAATGAAGTTGATAAACAGAAACAGAAATTATTCATGATTCTGTCCAATATATTCAGCTGTCTTTTATATTTCTGAAAGATGAAAGAACTTTCTTCTATGGTACCCAGACTTTATGAATTTAAGTGCATTACTAGATTGGTGGTGAGATCTCATTATTTTACAGTTAAATTGGCTGGATGTAATCATAAGTTTTATGCTAACAGTTTCTTCTCTTGCACATCTTGCTTGTGAAACACTGTTCTGGCTTCTTGCTTTCTGGTTGATTTTGATCTTCAAAAATTTAAATGCAATGTCAATCATTATCTTCTCTCTTAATTCTTGTTCTTTTATTGTTCTCCTACCATAATAGTGTTTCTTTTTCTCATATTTTCTAACATTGAATAACCCTCTTGCATCTTAGTGGCTTTATTGTCTTGCTTGAGGTAAACGTGAAATGATTAAAAAATTTTTTTTATCCTTTCTACTTTTGAATACTTTGCGGACAATGTCAAAATGTCTTTCTAAAAAGCCTATTTATCTAATTGGAACTCAATTGATCTTGTCTATCCATACCTGCCATATTCATCTGACACTGCACCAAGTGATTACAGGTTTACATCACCCTACATTGTTAAATGGTTCCAGAGGTTATGACTTAGGTTGAAAAATGACTTAAGTCAAAATAACCACACCATAAACTGCAAGTAAGCATTCCCTATTGCCTATTACAGTATTTATGATATGTACGTACAGTATTCTGAATAAAATAATTAATTTTCACCTTATATTCCAGAGATATAGCTTTACACTTAGCATTAGCACTTGCACTGGGACTTTTCTTCTGAGCCATTGGCAAAAATGTATTCTAAATCACAGTTGAAATGTAACTGAAAGAACGTCAATGTCAGAGCACAGATGTAAACCAGTCTGAATTCAAAATTGGTGTTGGAGCGGAAAAATTGCACAAGTGCTGCCTGTCGATAGGAATTTGAAATATGAACATCTGTTGAATATACTTTATTATACTAACTGTTTTGTTTTTGTTGATTCTATGATATATATATATATATCTAGTATACATAATATTATTTTTTAATTTATTTGAATTTAATTTTATATGTGTCTCTTGTTATTTTAGCATTTTGACATTTCTAATATTTTTAACAGCTGACGTAAACTCGAATAAAACGAGCTAAGGCAAGTTTTATTTTTCCATATTAAGAAAAACTGATGTATCTTTGAAAAAAATAATAGTTAAGAAAAACTGATGTATCTTCGAAAAGAATATTTAAGAAAAATTGTTCTATCTTCAAAAATGACTTAAGTCAAGGTATTACCTTTTTTGACTACTATAAAAATGCTTTTTCCTCTAATGAAAACCAAATTCAAGAGTCCATCAAAAAATTTGTACATTACAATTTGTAAAACTTTACTCAAAACTTATTAAATAGTTGCCTGGTAAGTGACAACAAGTCATTTCAAATAATAGCACATATAAAATTTGAATAAAATTTAATGGTTATTTATTTCTTAGAGAATAAAGTTGAAATACATAAACAGAAATAATTCATGATTCAATCTTTAATTTGTCTGAACTTAAGGTAAATCATTTGCCATTCATTTTCATAGTAATTCACTTAATCAGAGTTTCTCTAGTAAGTCATTTTTGATACATTTGTCATCTTGAAGTTGAAAAGTATTTTAGTATCATTATTATTGAAAAGAAAATAGTATCTGACAAACAAACACTTATGTGAAAATGAAAGACAAAAATGACAAAAATCCTACATAACACATCTCATCTTTCCAAAGCAATCCTTCAAATTAAATGTTTTTATTGACAAATTTTATTTCATACATGCAGACAGGCATGCATTCAAATGCACACAAACATGCACATGTACACTATGGAAAAAAACTGGCACTAATGAAAAGTGCATATCAAAAAGAAAAATTGCGAAGTATAAGGAGTTAATTGCTGATACCCCTGACAAGTGAATAGATTGATTCCCAAAGGGTCTGTTTATGAAACTCTGAGTCAGGATGCTGATAGTAACATCAATTATATCAAGTGACAAGCCTTTTTACTTTTATTAATTATATATATATATATATATATATATATATATATATATATATATATATATATATATTTAAAAATTATAACATAAGAGTGTTGAAACAAAATAGGTATTTTTGTAGTGATGCCATAACATACTTATATTTTTTAAATAAATATTTTTTGCTCTACTATGTATTGAGCACTTTTTTAAAAATGGTGTTTTTGGTTACTGGAAGTTTATTCCATCTCTACCAACCTTGTATTTTGTATATATATATATATTCAACTCTTCCGTCGTATTTGACGTATGAGGGTCAAATAGATCAGTTTCTAGGAACCAACAACCCAACACCGGCACATAAGATTTGATTATAGTGGTGAACGTTTTGTGTCAAACCATTCACATTTTTTGAAGGTCCAAATATATACGGGCCACAAGGTCCCCAAACGACCCTCCGCAGGTTTTGAATTCAGAGTTGTCCTTCTCCTAGACCAGTTGCCATCGAAGGCTATAGAACCCAGTCTGTCCTGCTGAGAAGAATAGGATTCACACCTTTCTCAAGGATATTAGCACGTAAGTGAATGTAATGGATTTGAGTGGAATTCAAACTTGGCTCTCCGATTCCTCAATCCAAGCCACTATCCATTACTCCACTGTGCCAGTATTATACACACACACACACACGCACACACACACACACACACATATATATATATATAAGAGAAAGCGGTTATAGTGGTTCCAACAAGAGAAAAGTGTATATATTAAAAAGAAGAGAGATACCACAAACGTTTTTGGTTGTAATGTGGATTTAAAAAAAAAAAATATTATGCTTTATTTTCCATAATTTTGCTACACATGTTTCCAGTCTCGTAACCGTCATCAGGTAAAGGGTGGAGATTTCCATGTATTATTAAGAATAATTAATTTTTTCCTTTATGTTTTTCGATGTTTAATATTCTCAATGTGAGACATTCTCTGTTTTTGTGTTAGTAATCCGAATGTCTTTCTTGAATTGGAAATGGAGAGTTCTTCACGAAGGGTCATAAAACAATTAAGATTGGTCCGAGAGAAATGATGAATTAGTTATCGGTATCTTATCTTTTAATGTTTTATTGACCCCTTGTGTGTTCTTAGATCTATTTCCATTTTCGTCTGTTTCTGTCAGCATGTGTGTATATATGCGTGTATATATTCCCCCTCCATACATACACTGTCTCACTACGAGGAAGTAGTAAACACATTTGTACACACACACATACCGTCTCACCACAAGGAATCAGTACTTACACATATATATACACACACATACTTCCCAAGTTACATGGAACCAGTGTACACATACACACATATATATGTACATACATACACACGTACTTCCTAAGTAACCCTCTACCTTGAGCGGCTCTTGGGATTTGTTTTTGGAAGTTTTCAGGAAGTAAATAAACAATAGTTTTCATAGGGTTCATATGACTAACCTTATTTAGTATTTTATTTCTATACTTGTCAATTATACTTTTATTACTTATAAAACAATTTTATTATTTATAAAACAAGGATTTCCTTTATCATTTCATCCGAATCAAGGTGATAATGTCACTAAGACACCAGGGGTTACTGAGAGTGAAAGAAAAGGAGACAGGACAATTGGGTTTCAGGAAGACAAGAGATTGATGTTGCATTTTAACTTTTGTTGAAGATTGTATGGAAGCAAGAAATCAGAAGAGAGTTCCACAGGTGAGAAGTGTGAGAAAAGAAACCATCAGAATAGAACTTACGGTTAGATCTAGCTATTTCAACAGTAAGACGGTGAGAGCTAGCTGCCAATCTAGTAGTCTAAATATAAGCATATTTAATTGAAACTCATACAAAAAAAACAAAGTAAAAATGTACTCACCTTATACAATCCAATCCAGTCCCACGAAGAAGCTTCATACACAGCCACACTGTATTTAACAACTGCATCTCTTCGAATTGTCCATTGGCCTTGGTTATGAAATGTGACGGGAAGCGGATTGGGTGGTACAGACAGCATCTGGACACACAATGGGACCAAGTGAGATATTTACACATAAGGGAGGTAACTTTGAGATATTAACTGATGACTCATGCTTGATAGCCTCCCCTTTATAGAAGTAATTTATACGGGCTGTTGAAAGTTAGTCACTTACAAAAAAAAAGTTGAAGAAATTTATTTAAAGTCAGTTTCTGTTATATTATAATTATTTATAAATATCGCTAAGTCTATTTATTTTTTTGATGGGGAAGAATAAGAAAACACTTCCAGATCTGCAGGAGTTCTACAACGTTTTTTGGTAAAGCAGTGGATCATGGACCGAGCATGTGAGCAATGATGAGGTCTTAGAGAGGATGCAAACAAGGAAGATATTATACTTAATATCAGGAAGAGGCAGCTGAAGTATCTGGGACACATAATGAGGAAGGAGGGCCTGAGAATCTGATAATCAATGGGTCGAATAGAAGGAAAGAGAGACAAAGAAAACACCATATGACATACCTAATGGGCTTGAAAGTGGATGAATGAGCGGTGAGCAACGATGAGGTTTTACAGAGGATGCAAACAAAGAGGAGGCTTATACTTAATATCAGGACGAGACAAATGAAGTATCTGGGACACATAATGAGGAAGGAGGGCCTGGAGAATCTGATACCATGGGTCGAATAGAAGGAAAGAGAGACAAAAGAAAAACACCATATGACATACCTAATGGGCTTTGAGCAAGGGATGACTAAAATTAAATGTGAGCAACGATGAGGTCTTAGAGAGGAAAAAACAAAGAGGATTTATACTTAATATCAGGACGAGGCAGCTGAATCTTATCTGGGACACATAATGAGGAAGGAGGGCCTGGAGAATCTGAAACTCATGGGTCGAATAGAAGGAAAGAGAGACAAAAAAAACACCATATGACATACCTAATGGGCTTGAAAAGTGGATGACCGAATTTTTGTGAGCAACGATGAGGTCTTAGAGAGGATGCAAACAAAGAGGAGGCTTATACTTAATATCAGGACGAGGCAGCTGAAGTATCTGGGACACATAATGAGGAAGGAGGGCCTGGAGAATATGATACCATGAATTCGAATAGAAGGAAAAGAGACAAAGAAAAACACCATATGACATACCTAATGGGCTTGAGCAAGTGGATGATTGAAGCGTTTTTGAGCAACGATGAGGTCTTAGAGAGGATGCAAACAAAGAGGAGGCTTATACTTAATATCAGGAAGAGGCAGCTGAAGTATCTGGGACACATAATGAGGAAGGAGGGCCTGGAGAATCTGAAACTCATGGGTCGAATAGAAGGAAAGAGAGACAAAGAAAAACACCATATGACATACCTAATGGGAGGGATTGATCAAGTGGATGACCGAAAGGGTGAGCAACGATGAGGTCTTAGAGAGGATGCAAACAAAGAGGAGGCTTATACTTAATATCAGGACGAGGCAGCTGAAGTATCTGGGACACATAATGAGGAAGGAGGGCCTGGAGAATCTGAAACTCATGGGTCGAATAGAAGGAAAGAGAGACAAAGAAAAACACCATATGACATACCTAATGGGCTTGAGCAAGTGGATGAAATTTTGCTTAGTTTGTGAGCAACGATGAGGTCTTAGAGAGGATGCAAAACAAAGAGGAGGCTTATACTTAATATCAGGACGAGGCAGCTGAAGTATCTGGGACACATAATGAGGAAGGAGGGCCTGGAGAATTGATTTGGGTCGAATAGAAGGAAAAGAGAGGAAAATGGATTTTAATGACAATAATGGGCTTGGTTTGGATGACTGAAAGAGAGCAACAGATGAAAGAGAGGAAAACAAAGAAGGAGGCCTATTTCTTTATGAGGAAGAGGCAATAGATTCAAATTATGTCCAAATAAATGAAGGATCTGGGGGGACATGATAATGAGAAGGATGGCCTGGAGAATCTGGGAAAAATCATGGGTCGAATAGAAGGAAAGAGAGACAAAGAATGCAAACAAACATAGGGGGCTTGAGCAAGTGGATGACTTAAATATCAAGGAGGTCTTAGAGAGGATGCAAACAAAGAGGAGGCTTAACTTAATATCAGGAAGAGGCAGCTGAAGTATCTGGGACACATAATGAGGAAGGAGGGCCTGAGAATCTGAAACTCATGGGTCGAATAGAAGGAAAGAGAGACAAAGAAAAAACACCATATGACATACCTAATGGGCTTGAGCAAGTGGATGACCGAATTTTTTGAGCAACGATGAGGTCTTAGAGAGGAATTTAAAACAAAGAGGAGGCTTATACTTAATATCAGGACGAGGCAGCTGAAGTATCTGGGACACATAATGAGGAAGGAGGGCCTGGAGAATCTGAAACTCATGGGTCGAATAGAAGGAAAAGAGACAAAGAAAAACCATATGACATACCTAATGGGCTTGAGCAAGTGGATGAAGAATGTGAGCAATATGAGGTCTTAGAGAGGATGCAAACAAAGAGGAGGCTTATACTTAATATCAGGACGAGGCAGCTGAAGTATCTGGGACACATAATGAGGAAGGAGGCCTGGAGAATCTGAAACCATGGGTCGAATAGAAGGAAAGAGAGACAAAGAAAAACAACATATGACATTAAATGGGCTTGAGCAAGTGGATGACCGAAAAACGTATAGAGCAAAAATGAGGTCTTAGAGAGGATAAAAACAAAGAGGAGGCTTATACTTAATATCAGGACGAGGCAGCTGAAGTTTCTGGGACACATAATGAGGAAGGAGGGCCTGAGAATCTGATATTTCTTGGGTCGAATAGAAGGAAAGAGAGACAAAGATGAAAAACACCATATGACATACCTAATGGGCTTGACAAAATGGATGACTGATTTGTGAGCAACGATGAGGTCTTAGAGAGGATGCAAACAAGGAGGAGGCTTATACTTAACATCAGGAAGAGGCAGCTGAAGTATCTGGGACACATAATGAGGAAGGAGGGCCTGGAGAATCTGTTACTCATGGGTCGAATAGAAGGAAAGAGAGACAAAGAAAAACGTGTGACATACTTGGCAGGATTAAGCAAATGGATGACAGAATGTGGTCGGGGGGAGGAAGCAGAGGGAAGAGCTGCAAGGGAAAGAGGGAAGTGGAGAGCCATGATCACCCACGTCCTGAAAGGACATGGCACATAAAAAAGAATTAAGTGTATCCAATAAAGGTTTTTCTTTACATTCCATCGTAATAATTTAATTTCATAAACTTGTAAAATCCACAGTCCATAATTATTTTATAAGTCTAAAAACAAATATATTTAGTCACTTTCCTTCTAGAACGTTGAAATAATTACAAAGAAAATGAAAATCTAATTTTGAATTGAACTGCCATCTTAGAATAGAAGTGTAAAATTAAATATGTTTTGGTTGTTTCCTTCTACAACTTAATAATTATTTGAAATTAATCTGAACTACTTTTGGCAATATGAAGCTGAAGTAATTTCTTTACATTTATTTTGTTTTTAATTATTTATGTTCATAAAACCCACAATTCATATGATACTTTGAAAATTATTTTTTGTTCTTTTTTTAGTTGATCTATAAACTCCACTAGCTTGTGTTTTTTGTTTACAAATCCTGAAAATTTACTTTGTAATTCTTATAAAACATAGAAAATGTGATTCCTGGAACATAGCAGATTGTTCAACTTGAAATTGCCAATTTAGAAATAACAAAAAATTGATATAATTTATATTATAAATTTGATATAAAAATTTGATATATAACATATATATTAGGACACCTCAACACGGTGTAATGGTCAGCAAGCTTGGCTCGCTAGATCAATTAGAGCTAAATAGTGAGTTTGATCCTCACCGGATGTCCCGTACTTTCAGCCTTGTACCACATCTAAGTTACACTTAGAAAATCACTATAACATATATATTAAAAAAATATATATAAAATTTTATATATATATAAATATATATAAAATTTGATATATATTTGATATAATTGATAAAATTTGATATAGAATTAGAAGCAGAAGAATTTTTCTTTTTAATCACAATTTTTTCTTTTGTTTGGCTTTCTAATATATTCATTAAGTCTTAGAATAGTGTTTATTTACTTCCTGAAAACTTCCTAAAACAAATTCCAAGGGCCACTCAAGGTAGAGGGTTACTAAATAAGGTTATTGTCAGAATGTACAAGAGGGGAATACGAGGTATATATTATGGAGATATGTAGGATAGCTAACATTTGAAGAGATTAAGACTGTTGTGATCAGGGAAGCATCCTTTGGGAGTATGTCCCACAATGTAATAGTTCTGGGAAAGATGGTGCCCAAGTGGGACTTCCTCCTTACCAATGGAATACAAAGGGAATGGTGATGAGTTGACTAAGTGTACCTGGCCTAGTAGGTCCTCAATGTACAGGTCTAAACTGGTGGAAGTAAGGAATGTAGTTTGCACAAGCATCTATCATGAAAACAGCAACAGGGTAGTGGGAAGCTAGCAGCATTTCAACTGTGGGGAAAGAGGTTGTAGAGTGGGAAACAATTTGTTATCCACAAAGCTGCATAAATGTTTTTAAACTCAGTAAGATCAGAAAAGTGAGGTTTGGGCAGTTCCAAATGTAACAGCGGTATTCTGTTTTGGGGACTGTAAAGGCAAAGAATGGTAATAGGAACAAGGTACTTTCTTTTAGTGATGAATTGGCTATATGTATTCCAATGGTGGTCTGGAGTAAACTACTTTAGTTCTGATAGGCCTTCCAGGCAGGGAGCATTATTGCAAGTCAAAACATTTATCACAACTGCAGAAAACTCAGGGTCTGCCTTGCTATGATGAAACATGCCTCACTTTGGTTTTGGAGGCATTGAATTTCATACACCAATAAATTTAATAAAGGTTTCTTCAAGGCTTACAGCCATATCACATTGAATCATCAGTTCTCGTCCAATCACAAGTTAAGCAATGTTGAACCTCGTCAGTACTCAGATGGATGACTTCTAGGGAATACCAGGTGCTGTAAGCTACGTGACAAGCCAAGCAAGCCCCCTGGTGG